ACAGGGCACACGGTGACGGGTCCAGGCATGATCCGAAGCGAAAAACGCTCACCTCCGTAATTGCCGCTCCAAAGATCGCCGTGCAAGATGGCGGGCTTGATCTTCGCATCCGTCTCTTTCGAGAAAAGAACTGGCCAAGCGCTGAAGTCGGGCAACGTGTGATGCGCAATCGCGCACGAGAGCTTCAGCGTCGCACTTGAGACGAGTGCAAGCCCTAGAAGCCGAGTTTCCACTCACTGCTGTCGAAGCTCTTTGTCTAGGCGAGTCACATCCGCATCTGCCAATCTGCGAACGAGGTCGCCAATCCTGCGTTCCGTCCAGAATGTGGACCACTTGTCTTCGAACGTATTGTCTTGTTCCTGAAGTCGAGCAGAGCAACGCCGAATCCAAGCGAGCAGGAAGGAGGCACTTTCATTTCAACGAGATGCACGCACGCTCGCTCAGACTTTGCAAAGCCGGCTAGACGATGCACGTAAGTCAATATGGCAGCGAAGCAAGACTCACGGTAGCGCCGCAATGAGTAGGCACGTGAAACCCAAACCTGTCATTCTTTCCATTCAAATGCATCTCTGCCAATCTTTTTCCCAGCTGCTTCATCACCGCTTCGCTCCTTGCACTCCCAAATTGCACGTGATCGGTGAACAAAAACTGTTTACCATCTTGCGTCTCTCCGCAAGCTCGGATGGGAGGCGTCAGACTCGCTTCGCCCGTCGCGGTAGAGGCAGCTTGGAGAGCTTGTAGAGAGCTGGCTTCACCCAGCACTTGAGGTGCATCGCTCAAGCCAGATAGCTTGCAAAACAACGTTTGGCCGGTGCATGCGGAATACTTGGTGGAAGTGAGGGATGTAAAGGGTGCCAAGTCCGGCAATTTGGCTTGCAAGAGACCGAGCAAGGCTGCTGCGTCTGTTCGCATGATCACGGCCATTCACACCCGCGAGTGCTTGCTTGGTGCTTGATTGCTGTCGGTGCTTTGTTCGCAAAGCGCTTCGCTTTGCTTTGCTTTGCTTTGCTTTAA